TAGAATCTTGAAGGACCCATATTTAAAGAAAATGTAAAATAGTAATGATTATAAAATTAAATGAATAATGAGATCCAAAGCCCAGCCATAAGAAAATACTAGCACAGATAAGAACCATCATCCAGGTACCATTTCCTCCTGGAAGACAGAAATACACAATATTTATTTACTTGAATAGTGCTGTTCCAAAGTCGAATATTTATGGTTGTTTGCTGGTTGTAAAATTAATAAATATTTATAGGAGAAAAAAATTAAGAAAATACTAAAGTATGTGTTATGGGCTGAATTGTGCCCCCTCTCCCCACTCCCCAAATTCATATGTTGAAGTCCTAACCTAGTGCCTCAGGGTGATCATATTTGGAGTTAAGGTCTTTAAAGAGATGATTAAGTTAAAATAAGGCCTTTAGGATAGGTCCTAATCCAATCTGACTGGTGTTTTTATAAGAGGAGATTTAGGAGATAACCCATAGACCTAGGGATTCTTGTGTGAAGACAGGGAGAAAGTGGTCACCTGCAAAGCAAAGAGAGAGGATGCAAAAGAAACCAAACCTGCTGACACTTTGATCTTGGACTTCTAGCCTTCAGAATTGTGAGAAATAAATTTGTTATTTAAGGCACCCAATCTGTGGTATTTTGTTATGGCGGTGCTAGCAAACTAATATAGTATAAAAGTAGGAAAGTTAAATTTTCCTTATAATCCCACCCTCAGAATAAAACAAAATACTTCTAAGAGTTTAATATGTCCTTTCAGTGCTCTTTAACATAAATGGGTGCATACTACACATCAAGTTATGTAACATTTATGATGGACATTTTCTCATGTAATATATGCAAATATACAACATCCTTTTTATATGCTCATCGTCTGGCATTGAATTTAACCAATCCCTACCAATAGACATTAGTTTGATTCATAATATTCCATGGTCTTTAATCCTTTTTAACCATTCAGTTTGCTTGTTTGTTTTGTCTCTGCATTAGTATAAACACCACACAAAGAAAATAGTTATTCTATTTTTTTCACTAAAATGCCACTCATTAAATTTATATTTAAAATTAAATTCAGATTTATGTATAAATTGATGTGTTGAAATTATTCATTTGAGAATTTTTTTCCTCCAAATTTTAATTTAAATTCCAGTTAGTTATTATACAGTGTAATAACAGTTTCAGGTGAATATATAGTTATCCTTATAACCATATCTGTATGCTCTTGACAAATTAAGAAGCATGATTTAAAAATTTTTCTCCTGGTTATCTATTCATTGGAAATAATCACAGAAATAAGCAAAATTTCAAAAGAAAAATCACTCATAAACTCAACATTCACAGATAGCCACTCATAACATAAGGATCTCTATCCTTTCAAATTCTGTTTATCTATATGATTTAAAAGGATAACTTGTATTTATGTATTTCTCAAGATCTAATGGTAAAAAATTCCTTTGTTCCCATTGTATCCAATGATGTGATTATGAACCATCATGGAAAAAATAAAAAACCTTTTGCCTTGGAATATATACTGGAACTGAATGTCTTTGAAAATGTATGTGCAATTTGGAATGTTGCTTTGTCTGTTCCTTTAAAGCCCTTGGATTCCATCTGTTTTCCAGTAATGAAAACGTCTACAATCCTGGCGAGTGAGCCACATAAAGCATTGGTGAGGATGAGGTTTGGTCGAAGAGTAGAGGCAGCCAAGAGATGCATGAGCTCATTTGCAAATACCTTAGCAGAGAAGCTGGTTTACTGCCCTTCCACGTCCTCTGGGGAGGTGGGAGGTGGGAGGTGGGAGGTGGGCTTTTCTATCCCAGCAAGGAAGAAAAAGGGCAATACCATGATTTCTAATCCTAAATCCCACCTTCCTCATTCCCTTGGAAAGATGGTTTGGGATGAACTCAAACTTTTATTGAAAGTACACACAGCACTTTGAAAGAGAATAAATGGTAACTTGTAATTTAAAGGAGGTGGCCTGATCCTAACTTACTTTCTATGTATGAAATTTCTTGTTTATCGAGAAGTTGCAGGGATGTCTGGGTGGCTCAGTTGGTTAAGCATCTGCCTTTGGCTCAGGTCATGATCCTGGGGTCCTGGGATCGATCCCTGCTTTGGGCTCCCTGCTCAGCGGGGAATCTGCTTCTCCCTCTCCTTCTCCCTCCGCCTGCCACTCCCCCTGCTTGCGCTCTCTCTCTCTGACAAATAAATAAAATCTTAAAAAAAAAAAGTTTCATTTTCTGTAAAGTAAGGAACATGGGCCAGGTGATTTATAAAGTTATTCCTGGCGGCAAGCCATAAAATTCTAAGACTCTAATCCTTACCTATTTGAATGTTACCGTCACAGAGTGCAAAGCAGGCTCTTGATAAACATTTGTTGAGTTACATTAAACAGGGACAGAAAAGATTGCAGTTGACTAATTATTTTGTAAAAAATTAAATTGAGACTCTGTATAGACTACTGAAAAAAGCAAATTCCACTGTGGCAGGATGTCTGGTAATTATTTTGCCTTTAATTAGTCCTAAGTTGATGATTTCCCAAAAGTTGACTGGTATTAGAATTAGAGCCTCAAATACAATCAGATTGAGGAAATAAATAGTAAGGTTCATTTTAATTTGACACTGAGTTATGGCAAATCAGGGCAGAATTCACTGCCGATATTCAGGGAAAGATGGAAGGGCACCCAATGGAGAAACAGGAATGGCCCCATGTTTATAACTCGTCTCACACTTGCTTATCATCAAATTAGAACTAGTAGGAATTCTTCTCCCACACACTAACATCTTGTTGTGCATGCTGCCCTTTGATGACTTCTTGTCCTTAAGACTATTCACTTAACTAGGCTTCCTCTCTAAATACATTGGAGGTGGTCCTGGGTAACCCAAACACACTATGGAATTTGTTTCAGGTCACCCACACCTAAACGTTAATGAGAGAAGTGAAGACACTGGCGCTGATTATCATGAGTGAACCCACTGGAGGCTTTAGCCACATGAACAACCAGACTTGATTAAAATTTGAATATCCTCAGTGATATATTCACGTACTCTTATATTGTGTCTTTAAAGAGTAAGTGTGTCAAAAGGAAAACTTAAGTAGTTATAGAATCTAAAAAACTGAGGTCTCCAAACAACTCAATCATCTTGGTTTTTGTTTTTGTTTTTTTTTTAATTTAAATGAAACTGGAGGATTGTCTCAGTGCTTTAGTTCCCCCTGCATTCCTGGTTGCAGCCTATCTAACTGAGTATCTCAAACACCCATAGGATGTATGACGTTAAGAACATCAATGCCAACCACTGTTATCAAGTCAACTCTGAGTTTAAGAGGCACTGCATCTGACCAAGCACTTACAGTTGTGAGGTAGCTCTGGTTCTTTAATCTTTCAAAAGATTTGTGATTATCTGTGAATATATGTGAGTATTCACACAAATAAATATATGAGATTTGTATCTTCAGCAAATGTGTACTGTTTGTCTTTGTTGTCAAGCATTTCATTTTTTTTTTTTTTTTTAAAGATTTTATTTATTTGTCAGAGAGAGAGCGAGAGAGAGCACAAGCCGGGGGGAGCGGCTGGCAAAGGGAAAAGCAGGCTTCCCGCTGAGCAAGGAGCCCGATGCGGGACTCGATCCCAGGACCCTGAGATCATGACTTGAGCAGAAGGCAGCTGCTTAACCAACTGAGCCACCCAGGCATCCCAGTTGTCAAGCATTTCATAACAAACTAGTACAGTTATCGCAAGAATGCCCATGACATTCCCTCATGGAAAAAAACCTATCACATTCTACCTATCACCATGGAATATTCTGTCTGCCTATGATAGACTATTTGAAAAACAGAATTGCAATTACACTCAAGTAGACCTTATCCACCAATGGGATATTGTCAGCCCAAGTAGTACAATGCCTGTGTTACGTAGTCTGACGTCAGTCACCAAGGCAATTCCTGTAAATTATATTTACACTTAATTCTTAGAGAAGTCTATTTACTTGCTTCCCGTTGTAACTCTTTAGGATTTCCAGACTGTGCCAAGTGGGTCATCTGAATTCACGTGCTGAGTGTACAGAGTCTTTTGAGGTGCTCTCACATAGTTGACTGTGGGGAGCCTTTTTGGAACGCATAACTGTGTTCACACTCTAGGAGGTTCTTTGCAACCAAGGTCATACCGTCTGTCTCCCCCACCAGACTGTAAGCAATACGAGTTCAGGAACTATAGCCTCAGCCTCTTTGCCTGGCACTTACGTCCACTCAATAAATGTTAGTTGAATAAATAATTACATCTACAAGCAAGAATAATTAGCAAATTTGTTAAAAGTTCATTTATATTTTCCTCTCAAGTTTGAATTAATATGTTCTGCTGCTAATAATGGCATTAGTGCTTTAGATGAAGACTATTTTTTCCCTAAAGATAAATGAATAAATATTATCCTTTTTAAGGGCTATTGTGTAGCACAGTATCTGACTCATCTTGGGTTTAATAAATTTTTATTGACTTAAATGGACTTAGCCACTCTCTATATTACAAAGATCCACCCAGATGATAATAATTTTATTCTGCTGAGGTGCTCTCAAACTGAAATTATACAGGAAAATTATTTTAAGTAGTATAATATCTAAAATGCCTAGAAAAGGGCGCCTGGGTGGCTCAGTTGGTTAAGCGACTGCCTTCGGCTCAGGTCATGATCCTGGAGTCCCGGGATCGAGTCCCGCATCGGGCTCCCTGCTCGGCGGGGAGTCTGCTTCTCCCTCTGACCCTCCCCCGTCTCATGCTCTCTGTCTCTCATTCTCTCTGTCTCAAATAAATAAAAAAAATCTTTAAAAAAATAAAATAAAATAAAATGCCTAGAAAAATGCTTGGCATCTAGCAAGTACTCAATACTTTATATTAATTCTTTCCCTCACACATATTTTAAAAGAATCATAAAAACCCTAACTCTAGGGCGCCTGGGTGGCTCAGTTGGTTAAGCGACTGCCTTCGGCTCAGGTCATGGTCCCGGGGTCCTGGGATCGAGTCCCGCATCGGGCTCCCTGCTCTGCGGGGAGCCTGCTTCTCCCTCTCCCACTCCCCCTGCCCTCTCTCGCTGTGTCTCTCTCTGTCAAATAAATAAATAAAATATTAAAAAATATATATATATAATTAAAAAAAAAACAAAAAACAAAACCCTAACTCTAGAGCTTGGTGGAAAATACAAAATTAATTTTAATAGAGGACAAGTGGCAAAAAGAAAAGGTCATATTATCTTTTGACCTAGCAAAGAAGTTCAACTATCTCATCAGAATTTTAAAATGTTACCCTGCCCTTCTCATGTTTCTTGGCATCATAGTGAAAATGCATCTAAGTTAAAGTTGCCAGATTAGTGAAATTTGAATTTCAGATAAACAAATAATTTTTTAGTGTAAGTATGTCTCATGTACTAAATATTATAAATAATTAATATTACATGGGACATACTTCTGCTAAAAAATTATCCCTTGTTTATCTGAAATTCAAATTTAACTGGGCACCCTTTATTTTTATTTGCTAAGTCTGGCAACCCTACTCTAATAGCAATGAGTACCAACAATTCGAAAAACAGTAATATTTTAATGAATGATTGACAGTCAACCAATTTAAAGTTTTGAAGCTAACTTATTCTTCATCCTAAACCTATAGTTAGCTTGCATAATGACACTGTGATTTCACCTTCTTTTAAAAAATGTTCTAGAATCAAAATGTCTATTTTGACTCTCCATGGTCACCAGAATGTGGCTTACAAAAAGGGAACAGTTGTTAGTCCTGGCTAAAAGCCAGACATTTGGTGTAGAATTATCAGTTGCTTATTCTACTAGAAGTTTCAGTGGAAGCTTGTAATGCAGGTTTTCCTTATGGTTTGAATCAAGTAGCCAGGAGACCATTTACATAGCTGTTTATTTTCATTGCATAGTGAAGAGCCCAAGCATTCACACTGAAGAAGACAACGGCAAAGCCTGATAAGCGGTGTGGTTATGGGATAATAACCAGCTTGTGACCTCCCCAGTGAGCTGTGGGTCGCAGAGCAGAGTAGCTGTGAGCCAAGTCTGGATGGAGGTCTTGGCAGGGTACCACCAACAAAGAAAGAAAAACCAGAAGGTTTTACTAAACTGGTCTTTTCATGGACACTTTTTCCCTTCATTTATTCACTGCTCTCAAGCAACCATATAAATCATCTTGTGCCTGAAATCTAAAATTCCAAAGAGTTGGTAGGTGAGCAGCTGTGGGAGGCTGAGGCCTCTTGCCAATATAAAACTCTAAGGACATTCCGGGTCTTTCGCCAGCTCTCAAAAGCCCTCTTTCCTTTCTTCTCTGAGCCCTAGGGATTGGCCAGCCTGTTTCCTTTCCACTGTTACCACCTGTTATTTCCAACTGTGTTTATCTCCTCCCTTGGTACAGTGTGGGACAGAAGACAGCCTCACAACTTCTGGCCTACCTTGTTCATACCAACTGCCATTTACTGACTGCTCACTGTGTGTCAAGCACTCTACTGTGTACTTTAGATCATAGTATTGTTTAACTTGTAATACAATCTTGAGATAGGCAATGTTGTCTCCTGTCTTACAGATGAGGAAATGAAATTCTTAGAAGTCAAAACACCTACCAACACCATGAGTGGTAAGATGTTTTGAACACATTCAGTTATCTCAGTTCAGTTCCTGAGAGAAGCAACGTCCCTAAGTGACGCTGACAGACCATAAGAAATGGGCTTTCCTTAATGCTGTACCAGGTCTTCTTACAGGAAAATACAGAGACCACAGTGGTGATAAAAGTGGATCTTCGAGGCTTGATGAAACTTTCTGAGGTGAGATGAGGAGATAGATAGATCTGGTGAAGAAGTGGTTTTCAAACTTTGATGTATAGAATAATCATCTGGAGGGCTTACTAAAACACAGAAGAAAAGATTTAAGTGTTAAAAAAAAAAAAAGAGGGAATCATAAAACCACTAATATAGGTGAACTTCTATTCCTATATAGCCTTAAGTTGACTTAGCCATGCTCTGAACATTTAAAACACTTGATGGGATGGTAGTTATTTTATCCTGTTGAATTTTCCACCTGGAATTATACAGCAAAACACTTTAAAAATAACATAATATGTGAAAGTGCTAAGGAAAATGAAATGCCTAACATCTTGCTAAATATAACTCAAACTCTAGAAAACATAAGAGAAAAGATGGATCATTTTGACTTCATAAAAGCATTTTTAAAGTCTGTCTGACATATAAACAACACAAACAAAAAAATAAATGATAGATTTTGGTACAAATAAATATAGTAAAAACCATATATATATTATGGTATGTCCATTCAGTGGGAAAATAGGCAGTTGTAAAACAGGAATGTAAAGACTCCTTTGTACTAATATGAAAAGATTTCTAAGAGATGTTAATAAATGAAATAAATGAATTTATAGTTGTCTATAACGGAGAAACTGGAAAACTGGGAGGGAGGAAACATAACTAGAAGAAAGAATTTTCACCATATACCTTTGTACATTTTTTAAGTATAGAATTATATGAATATACTATTTCCCCAAAAAATAAAATAATTAAGAAACCATACAAACAACCAGACACTAAAAAACTTTCACTGTCCCCAGGGCCCCAAATTTCCACAAGCATAGCTTGATTCCACAAGCATAGCTTGATTCCACAAGCATAGCTTGATTCCACAAGCATAGCTTGATTCCACAAGCATAGCTCAGAGACCTACCTTTTTTATAAGCTTTCCCTGGTGATCCTGATGTAGGCGATCCAATGAGGATCACATTTTGAGAAGCATAGGTATAAAGGCTAGAGACTGACTAGGACACCAAAGTAGAGTTCAGAGAGGTAGTAGAAGGGGAAAGAAGGTGTCACAAGAAGTTATTCTACCAACTTCCCTTTTCCTTTGGTACTTTGATCTTGCCATCATAGATCTGCCTGTCTAGGCATTTAGGAGAGGCGAATAATTTTGACCATGTGCAGGTAGCTGCAGATAACAGGAAAGGGAGGAAGAAGAAATTCCAAACGAAGTAAGAAGGGAGAAAACAATTTCTATGGTCACCTAGCCATCCAACTACCATTTTGGGTGACTATATCTATCGAAATGGAGGCTTATTGGAGATCTGATTTTTTTTTTTTTTTAAAGTAGGCTCCACACTGTGGAGCCCAACACAGGGCTTGAATGCACAGTCCTGAGATCAAGACCTGAACTGAGATCAGGAGTCGTATACTTAACCAACTGAGCCACCCAGGTGCCCTGGAGATTTGATTTTTTTAGCACAATGCTTAACAATATTTGTAATCACCTTTCTTTTACTATGATTCCAGTCTATCCCTCCCTGTTGTTCCTGATATCTCTTCGTTTATTAAACCATAGGAGAACATGTCATGAACACACACACACACACACACACACCCTTCTACCTAGACCAGTGCCTTCTCTCACAACACACTAGACCTATCATGAATTGTCAGTTGTCATAATTGAACCTTGAATTTTCCTTTCTGGAGCCAGAACTTGGCAATACACACTGTTTGGAACCTGGGTGTGTGTGGTGGCAGATGTGATAGTAAGAAGTGCTGTGGAAGACAGAGGGCTTGTCCATCAGCGTAAGAGATTCCAGTTAGCTGTCTTCCCCTATTTTTTCATCCCATCCACCCAGTCCTTTATTTCTCTCTTCCATAGATATTTATTACACCTATGCTAGCTGCTGGGTACACAAAGAGATTTAGAAGTAAGACATGGCTCCAGTTATGAAAGAGTTAAGTGGTGGAGCTGTGATTCCAACCTAGTGTGGCTTGTTGTAGTACTGGGAGGCAGGAATGTAAAAAAGGAAATACAAAGGAGAGTAGTCATGTTTTGAAAGTAGTATGCCCAAGCCATGTATATGGTAATGGTGGAGGCACAGAGGAGGTAATGTTCTGGCAGGGAGATGGGTGAGGTGAGATCAGGGAAGGCTTTAGGAGGGAAGTACCACTTGACCTAATTTAACTTTATTACTTCAGCTAGAACTCAGTCTTGTTCCCTTTTTGAGGATGTGAGGTGCTTTTTTTCTTTTTTCTTTTTTTTACTTTTGGCCAAAAAAATCCTGCTTCCTCTCATGGATATTATGAGATCCCTTTTAGTGACCCTCGGCAAAATAATAATCTTGGTCCTTCTAATTTCCTGGTTCTTCATTCTATAGCATGAGAGACGTAAGATCTGTTGACAGTCCAAGAACTAGCTTCTTCCAACACAACAAAAACTTTAACACTGGTTCTTTGCTAACCTCTCTATTTTATAACCTGCCTGCGACAGGTTGTGACATAAATTGGTTTATGACACAAGGGGGTTCTTAAAGGAAGTGTTCCTCTTTTCTTTCTACATGTTTTTAAAACATTTCAATAAAGCTAAATAATTTTGAAAATTACATATTATTCACAGAAATAGAAGTGGAATCACAGAGAGATCTAACTAGTAGATAAAGATGACACTGGCATAAGAAAATCTATGTAGATTTAGTGCCCAGAAGCTGAATTTTGTGTGTGGTGGTGCACATATGTTTTTACCAGTTTGCTATTAAAATCAAACATTTTCAGAGGAGAAAAGAGAGAAGAAACCCAGTTTTATTACCAGCCTTCTTTATGCTTAGAATGTTCATTCTCCATCTTTTTTAATCCTCATCATAATCTTTGGTGTAAATCATATTCTTCTGCACTTTCTCTCTGATCCTGAAAACCTCCACTCCCTCTCAGGACAATTTCTAGTTAATCACTTAAAAGCAAAACAAAACAACAGGCTGTTTCTATGTGACTCAGGAAAGAGTGAAGTAACAGATTTTCACTCTTTTATACATTCTTTCTGGACTTAGCTCTGCAATAGCAAAATCATGCAAAGTACAGCTATTGAACCATATAAAACATCTAGCAGGTGACCATTTATCAGTATCTTAGAAAATGACATCGGGGGGTGCCTGGGTGGCTCAGATGGTTAAGCGTCTGCCTTCGGCTCAGGTCATGATCCCAGGGTCCTGGGATGGAGCCCCACATTGGGCTCCTGGCTCAGAGGGGAGCCTGCTTCTCCCTCTCCCTCAGCCTCTCTCCCTGCTCATGCTCTCTCTCTCTCGATGTGTGTGTGTGTGTGTGTATCTCTGTGTCTCAGATGAATAAATAAAATCTTAAAAAAAAAAAAAAGAAAATGACATCAGGAAGATGTAGAGAGGAGGAGCATTCCAGCAGGAAAGATTCAGTATGTGCAAAGGCATGGAGGCATGGAATGATGGCGAAAGGGATAAGGAAGACTGTAAATGATTCAGAATTACTATAGAGCAGGGGTTGGCAAAATAGGACCCACAGGTCAAATAGTGCCACTGGCCGGTGAACTAAAACTGATTTTTACAACACTTTGAAGTGTTTGAAAAACAATCAGAGGAAGAATAGTTTGCGACACATAAAAACTATGTGAGATTCAAATTTCCGTATTCACAAATAAAGTCTTACTGGAACACAGACACACTCGTTTGTTTGCATATTGTACATGGTTGCATTCGCGCCACAGCTGCAGAGCTGAGTACTCGAAACACAGAATGTACGTGACATTCTCACTGCTTCTCTCTGCTGCTTCATGTACAATAAATCACAGGGATGCAATTTTAACTGTACCTTTTTGAGTACCACATACATCACTATACCAAACCACTTAGGTTTATTACCCATGCATACCTATCATGTCAAAACAAGAAAAGAAAAGTAGGTTTCAAAGAGTATGTTTGAAAGCAGAGTGGAGTGTGGATTATTATGTTACTATGTGGCAAAGCACTGCATTTAATGTGGGACCGCACAGTAGCTGTGCTGAAAGAATATACATTGATGTCACCAGGCTAAACCCTCCTCTCAGCATTTCAACCTGTAGGAAAGTAACAGAAAAAACAACCAGATAATTTTAATTTAAAACAGAATATCTCATCACAGCAAAATTTCTGCACAAAAAAAAAAAGTGAAAATGAGGCTGCAATCAAAGTAACTTTCCAAGTGATTTGTTATTCAAGCAGAAAGCCATCTACCAATACAAGTTAATTAAATTGTGCTTGATTCCAGCATTGAAGAAATATGTACATACAAAAAAGAACATGTTTAAGACTATTAGCCTTTCTGTGAGAGCAGTTGCTTGTGGAGTTGAGGACTGGGAGAGCAAGGTCAATAACCAATTTAAAAACAAGGCAAATGATTTTGAATTGTTTCCTTTGGCTCTTGATGAGTTGACAGATGTTACTCATACTCCTTAATGACTGGTTATTTGAGGAGCTAGGCCAAGTTTGAAGTGACCGAAGAATTAGCTTCTATGAAAAGTATGCATTGAGAAAGGATAGGCAAGATAAAAGTTGAGAAAATGCTAATGCAGTACAACCTGAAGTGGAATCTACCAGGATGTGTTACGGCTGATGGTGATAAAAATATGTGTGCAGCATAAAAAGGCTTAGTTGGAAAGATTTACTAAGTTTGTAAAATGGTAAGGTTGTTCATTGTATTGTTCATCGGCAGCAACTTTGCAGAAAGTCTGTGAATCTATCATGTGTCATTGAAACAGTAATGTCAGTGGTGAACTTCACTTACTTTCAAGGACTTAACAATTGTGGGTTTCATGAATTTTTGTCAGAAATAGAAGCTGAACATCTTGACTTGCTTAATTACAAATCAGTTCAAGAGCTTAATGGTGAAGTTTTATTGTAATTTTCTTAAAGTTTAGGGCTAAGACTGATTTTTTTTTTCTGAATGAAAACCACCCTCATCTACTATTATTGAACACCAAATGGCTTTGGAATAGCTTTTGCTTCAAATCCGATAATGTTTCTTAATAAACTGAACCAAAATTACAAAGTTACAGTTCTCTTATGTGACACATACTGTGGAAGAGTCATTT